GGATTATCCCGAGACTTTCAACAAGTGCTCGAGGTTCGGGCATCCATCCAGAGGAAAATGCCAAGGGTTGCCCAGAAGGATTAACGAAGCCCACATTATCGATTTTACACTTATCGGAGTTTCAGTTTTAGAACTTTCTATCTTAGGCATACATCAACTATAATGATAGTTATACCTATCTGTTTCTATTGATCGTCGTAATTGTATCCATTCCCCACTAGTGTGGGGGTCATTTGACAAGTCACCCCTCTGAAGGGGTGGGAGCCAAATAGTAAACGATATTAATAACACTAAAAAAACAAGGTAAAACCTGTGAACAAACTCAACTTTCGAACACTATTGCTTTTATTTGTATTTTAACTTTTCAATGTCTTTTTTTTTTTTCTCATAAGGTAAAAATAATTCCTAAAACCAAAAATACCAACTACTTTACCTGTTCGAGTATATAAATATAGGGATTATGGTTTATTTCTTTATTTTCTTTTTTTAACCCCAATCCCAAGTTGCCCTCTAGAGGGCCACACATCCGAACACGGGAATCAAACGGAAGAGAAAGGAAGAAAAAGAAAAAAAAAGAAAGAACAAAAAAGAAAGAAACAAGAGGATAAAACCAAAAGGATATTAGGCGACTCGTTCGTAGAGTAAGATATAAGCCGTTGTGCTAACCCCGTTGGAGCCGGCCGAGGTGACGCCGAAGAACTGCTGGACGTCGCGCGCGGTCATGAGGTGGACGGCGTTGTCGTCGAAGCAATACCACAGCTGCGGGCCGTAGCGGACGCAGGTGAAGTAGTGCCCGGTGCTCACGCCCTGCCCGCGGTGGACGATAAAACCGCCGAGCTCGAAGCGGGCCTTCTGCCGCGCGATCCCGTGGATGGTCCGGCGGATCGCGTCCAACTTCGCGAGAGGGGCGTCGCCGCCGGCCGGGGCGTCGGCCGCAGGGCTGCCGTCCTCAGGGGAGATGCGGGTCTCGTCGATCGCGTACTCCTCCAGGTCCATCGAGGTCGGGATCGCGACGTGGTCGGCGGCCTTGGCGTAGGTCTGCCGCTCCCCGTCGTAGCCGAAGCGCTTAAGGTGCACCAGCAGGGCGCGGTGGGGGAGTTTCTGCACGAAAATCGTCTTCGCCGCGCAGACGAGCTCCTTACAGCGGCCGCAGCGCAGCTT